AGTATACATACTTGTTTGTATCATATGATAAGTAGTAGTGTCATTTCAATGTCTCATTACATTTTTGAGAAAAGACATACAGTAGTCAACATTTGAAGTGGATCAAAAAGTTGTTCTAAGACAAGAATGCAATTTGGTTTTAGGTTTTAGGACAACTTTAGTGAAAGGTTTTGATCCACTTCAAATGTTGACTAGTGTTATATGATGTTTGACTTTTGAATCCTCTCTGATGCAATTTAAGTGAGGTTGTCAGACAGTTCTTAAGACGCAAAAGACTGACATTTCACACCTACTCATGATGAGAGATTTCTTGGATAATTTCTTCTCTACTCCAGAAGTAGACAAGTGTGAGTGCTTTAACCCTGAACTTACTCTTGCATCATCTGTTTTGCCTCCCTATGTGCCATCAGCAATGTTCTCTTGCTGGTTTCTTCTTTCCATGCTTACATCTGTGCTGTCCATGGTGCTGAATGTGAGCTGGTGTTTTAACAAGAGCAAAACAACAGAGTCGTCATTTCTGTACTTTTCAAAATTTGATGATGAAAAAAAAGAAAATCTGTACTTCTCAAAATTTGATGATAAAAACAAAATTACAACCATAAAAACAAGCTTTATAAAGGCCAAAAGAAACCTAAATGTCTTTTAGGGTTCCCTCCAATGTGTATTAATATAAATTTCATAAAAAGTTGTTTTACAGACAGATACTTTGTATTAATTAATTGTATTAATAATTAAATGGATAAAATGATAACCGGATGAACTTTTTGTTATCATACACACCCTCATATTATTCCAAACCTGTATGATTTATTTTCATCTGTGAAATATATATGACCATATATAATTATTTATCAGTCTCTTGATTAGAATACAACCAGATAATACACACAATTTGTATGCAATGTTAAAAAAGACAAAGTATTTAGTGTGACCTCTCCTTACACTTAAACCTAAATGGAATGGAACCCCAATTAATGTCATTGCTAACACATGTATTTGTCCTACTTTTTCATGTCAAAATGACTGTTGTGTAAAAGGTATTAGACCTTTCTCACAACAGTCACTTTGACATAAAATAGTAGGTTTGTGCAAGACATGCTTCAGCATTACACACACGTATTTTATAATCCTTTGGAAGATTGACAAGTCTAAATTTCAATCCCATTCAAAATGCCAAAGACCACAATTTGATAGACAAAAAAAAAGCATAATTTTGCATAAGCAAGGCCACTCTGAAAGGAAAATCAGCAAAATCAATCAGTGTATCTGAAAGGATACACAAGATGTGGTATTCAAGCTGTTATAAATAATTTTGAAGAATCAGAAGAAGTCAAGGACTGGAAGGCCAAGAAAACTTTCAAAATCTGATGAGAAGTTTCTCAGACTGCAAGAAGTCCACCAAGGACCTGGCTCAGCATCTGGCAGCTTCATCAGGATGCCAAGTTGACCCTTCTACAGTCTGAAGAAGTTTGACCAGGAATGGACTTTGTGGAAGAGCAGAAGCCAACAAATCTTTTTTTTTTTTTCAGAAGGGTAAGATATGCAAAAGTTGTCAAAAAATTGGAATGAGTATTATGGAGTAACAAATCCAAGTTTGATGTTTTTAGGTCCAGTCGTTGACAATCCGTGAGAAGAAGAGTTGGAGAGAGATAGTAGATTGAGTGCTTGTGCGGCCTTCAGTAAAACACGTTGGAGGTCTATCCTGGTTTAGGGCTGTGTATCTGTCAGTTGGTAATGTCCGAATTGATGGGATCATGAACACTGTAAAGTACAGACTGATTTTAATTCATTGTGCCATTCTTTCTGGACAGTGCCTGATTGTTTTAGTACTTCTGAGAAACAAGGTCTACATGGATTTAATCCCACCAATGATTTTGTGATTAACTATCAAACAGAACCCACTGAGTTAGGACATCACAGGGGTCGCCACAGCAGATAAAAAAGGTGTCTACATTTAGGATCTCAGCAGCTGTGTGGGATTGAAGTGTGTCATTAAACGAGAGGAAAAACAATGAAAGAGAGATAATGAAGAACAGGTGGACATCTGGGAGGAACACAGAATTGTCATGCCTGAATGACATTCACACAAATTCTCTCTCTTCATTCGATGTCCTGCTTTGCATTGTGTAAGGATGGAAGGAGAAGAATGAGGCATTGAAGTGTGGACACAGATTTTGGATCTGTTTGATTGGAATGGAAATATAGATTAAAGGATAACACTCTAGCCGAAGTGGCTTCTTTTCATGTAAATGTCTAGGAGGTTATTTGCATGTGTCAGCTTCTGAGCCGCCAGGTGACTAATTTCACAAGCCAGTCGTGTTGGGTTTAGATAAAAGAAGTATTCAACATACTGCTGAATGTTGAGTGTTGAACGTCTATGTCAAGCTAGAGCAATTAAAATAAAAATGTAAAAGCTTGCTTGTATGAGTTTATCATATGCACAAACCTTCACTACCCTGTCATTGCTCACTTTTGATTTGAATGTGTCCTTTTATGATCCCCGTCTGCTGCACTGCTCATTTACCCATGATCAAAAACAATAATACTGTCCATCTCAGCTTTGAACATCCCACATCTAGTGGCAGCACACGTAGTGTTGGGTAGGAGGGTGTTTCTGAGGTAATTAGAGAAGATAGTGTTTTACTCCATTAGACTGACATCATCTGGATTTAATTATACAGTGTGAGACAGCAAGTGCAGATACTGCAGCTCCAAACTGCTTCTATTGTTCAAGCGATCAATGAAGTACTCCTCACTATAATATAAAACAGTTGGCTTCTGCCACTGACGTGCTACTATAAGTACTGTGCATGGATGAATGACTTGGTTTATTTCTTTCTGTGCCTTTTTGACATCCTTTAAGTCCTCTTATTTTATGTACAGCAAGTGTAGACCCAATGTAAATAAGCAATTCTTTACAGTTTAACTTCTTTGATTGTGAAGGGAGTTTCCACAGGAGTGCAGGCCTACTTGATTGAAAAATATTTGAAGGCAACATTCTGATGTTTTAATTTATGAATAAATTACTTTACGACACACACACGTGTGTGTGTGTGTGTCAGGTTTTGTCTACATTGTGGGGACCAAATGTCTAGCAGAAATGTCCAGAGTAGGCTTAGGGTAAGGGGATAGAATATACAGTATTTACAGTATAAAAATCATTGCCTATGGAAAGTCCCCATAAAACATTAGTAAAATAAAATAATTGTAGATAATATTGTATAAATTCTCATTGTGTGTGAACTGTATAATAATAATAATACGTATTATTATTATTATTATTATTATTAATCAATCATTTATTACAGTATTTCTTGTTGATTGATCTGTTTTTGAAAATAGTCAAGATTAAACCATTACACATGTTTCTATACTACTGTATGAAAACCATTCTGTCACTACATGTTTATTACTTACAGTATGTGAATTGTAGACTGTGTTTGTGTCCACAAGTGAAGACACATGGCCACACTCTAACCACACAACAAAAAAACTCAGAAAGCGAAGAAATGGGGAACCTGCTCTTGTGGACCTTCACTGTACTTCATTGTCGATATATTGATCTGGTTGGCTGGAAGGTCGATCAATGTCAAAAGGGAGTGCTGTGCTTTGAAGCTATTCTAAGGGCTGAATTCTCATGCCCAGATTCTTAAGCATTAAAAAAAGATTGAGCCTCAGATCAGTTTATAAGGGTAACACACAAAATCATTCTTAATAATATAGAGACTTTATATATGGTGATTTCATATTTTAATGCATTCATGAATGTGACTGGCGTTAAGATGCATTGTATGGTGTGTGTTTATTCAGAGCCACAGCAGAGGTTCTGTTGTGGAAGAGGATGCATAGGTCAGTAGGATCAAAGTTGCACAGAACGAGAAGACACTGAATCCAGTGATCCACAGCATGTATCCCTGTATGCATGAACGCACAGACACACACACACCGACCAACCAGAGTGCATTCATCCATGTACACACACACACACACACACACACACACACACACAGTCTCTGACAGCTCAGATATCACATATAGCTTCATGTTGAACACATTAACTTTACATCTATTATTTTCATTATTTTCATGAATCTGATTTAAATTTAAATGAGTATGGTTTATGTAAATGACATTACAACATGACATTATTTTCCTATTTCCTGTCTTGCTTTAACTTGTTTATCTTATTTTATTATGCAGGGTCCTATAATCAGTTTCTGTCTTCGATGTGTGTGTGTTTCAGGACAGTCCTCTGGTCTTACAGTCAGACCGCAATGTGACGGTGAATGCACGAAATAACCTTGGCCAGCTGACAGGACAGCTCACTGTGGGTGAGTGGCATTTTTAAACTATATTTTCATGGACATGTCACCTGAGTTCATACTTTCTCATTTCACAGCGGGCCTTTTCATTTATAGCTGATGTGTTTTTCATACACACATCTATTATCTATGTATTGTGTTTGCTACTACAATATTTCCTTTTTTGAACTCCTACAGCATTGCCGTATAAACCTTAATATGTAATTTCTTTCTTCTTCTTCTTTTTTTTGGCACTTCATTGTACTCCTGGCATCTGCTCATTTACATGAAATGAGTTAATCGAATTTGAATAAGGAAATTATTCTTTGTGTTCACACTTTCAGAATTCATCATTGTTAATAAGTTGCCAGAAAACATCAAATAAATTGTGGTTGCTATTACTTAATTACCTAGATGGCATTTTAGTAAATGACACCCTGAAGGGCTTTTGGGCCTAGATTTTTTTTCTTTCCTTTTCATGGATTGTATTATATTCAGATACGAAATTGGAAGAACACTAAAATCTGGTAATTCCTGCCCACCCAAACTGTTATAGTTATGTAGGTTTTGTTTAAGGTTTCTTGTCTTTTGTCTGGCTTCCCTGATTGCGTTCAAGCATTTTCTTGCCCAGGTAATTATTTCTTGTGTAGTTAAACCCTTTGTGACTTTGTCAAGTCTTGTCTTTTGATGTGTATTTTAATTGGCAGTGTTTTGTTTCCTGGGATTTCACTTTTGTATGTTACCTTTGATTTTTTTAATATGAAGCTGCACTTAGATTCCAAAACCTATTAGACTAAATTTTAGACTCTACAAGACCCAAAGCGTTACAACCGCCTCCTAAAAAACACAATTACCTGTGTTGAAAGCCTTTTGTGATTGTATGTGATTGTACATATTGTGTTTTTGGTTGAGTATGTGATGATGGTGTAGAGAGTGGTGCTGCTTTTACAGTTTGAGGTCAGTAAGGTTTTTTTTTTCTCTCTCATTCCAAATCAATCCAATTTGTAGGGCACCAAATCTACATATTGGAATGATTTGTGAAGGATCTTGTGACACAGAAGTCAATGCTGAATATTCAGCTTTGCCATCATTGGAATAAATTACATTTTAAAATATATGAAAATAGAAAACAGTTATTTTAAATTGTAATATTATTTCACAATATTACTGCTTACTGACTTTTTGATCAAATACTTAAACCTTGATGAATGTTGGAGACTTCTTTCAAAAACATTAAAATATCTCACAGATCACAAACTTTTGAATCGATTGGATTGAGCAACACATTAAGTCAGAAAAACCCTGTTGCACTAATCCTGTAATCTTGTGTTTTTGTTTTCAGTTGGTGCTCAGTTTCACCATCACATTTTAAAAGACAGCAAGCTGTATTCTGGGGCCGGCTGCCCGCCGTGCTCAGGATCTCCATCAATTACTGTTCTATCTCAATGCAGCCACGGGGGGTTCTGGAGTTCTTGTGTTTTCTGGTGTTTTTCCAGTGAATCCTCTTCCCTTGTCAGGGATTTTTTTTCCCACTCCAGGGTATGCAAGGCAGAATGTTTATGTTTGCGTGTATAAAAAGAGCTACCTGACTCAAACTAGCTGTAAGTTCAGAGTAGAAGCAACCACCCCTAAAGCCAGAAGAAATCTAGATGCTCTCCTTCACTTACTGCTCATGGACTACAGCAGATCACAGCTTTGCTGTGCAAAGGAAAATAGAGAAAGCAACAACCACACACGTTTTCCCTGTATTAGTAACTGGCACCAAAGAAAAACTTTCTTGTTTTTTTTCTTTGAATCTCCACTGGTTGTGGCTGTTTTATTTTGGTTAGCGCTGCAAAATTCAGAATTGAATAATTGGCTCTTATTTAATTCATGGAAAACTATATTGTTTCTGTGTAAACTACAAAAACGTTCATTCTATAGGTATGTGTGCAGAAGTGTATAGTCTTTCTTTACAAAGTAACATTGCCAAATACTGGCCTCTCATGCATAAAACAGTCTTTTTAGTTGTTTTCCAAATCCGTGTGAATGTGGATCGTTTTGACAGTGTTGCTGTTTGTACGCAAAGGAAAAACTTTTCTGTTTGTGTTCCTCTTTTATTCACAGGTGGGAAAAATGTGAACTATCTGTTGGGTAAAACACAACATAACAGTCTTCTCTGCTGGGAAATGCTGAATTAATGTTCACATATGCCTTTAGAAATTGAAAAACCTGGTTCTAAGTATAGCATATAGATCCGCTTTCCTAGCAAAAACACAGCAAGCATTATCTGACTTATGGCCTCTTTTATGATAAATGCAAATATTTTAAATGAAATCTCAGGCTATTTGTGTCCCATGGTACTTTATTAAGTACACAGCAAGACTACAAATTAACCAGTGTCAATGAAAGTAATAAAAATGCCCCAGATATGTAATGTTTAGGGGCACAAGTCATTCCCCATAGAGACCCCCCTCTTCTGTTCAGACTCAATATTTGTTTAGTATTGATTTAGTGCCTTTGCAGTCACCATAGTGAGTTACAGCTGTCAGATGTCTATATTCACTGTCTCAGAGGGGAGTATTGTTGGTTGTGTATAGCTGATATATTATATTGCATGTTTGTAATATTAATTATTATAAAATTATTATTATACACATTTATATATAATTTATTTAATAATTTATTTATTTTACTTAAATTAATTCAAGCATTTGACGAAAAATGATGCCAAATAATGAAGGTGAAAAATCTCAATAATGCAAAATAAAACGTACTTTTCTCTTACACAACTTTAAGCAGATGCTATGTGAATTTACTTCTACACTGAAGGTTTGTTACCAATTTGGAGTCACCTACCACTCTCACCAGTTTGCCCTCTATATCCTCTCTTTGACATTTACCCACTGTGCCAGGATGTTGCCTTCAGGCTGTCACTGATCTTTCGAAATTGTCTGAATATTTAGGGAATTTTGTAGCACGGATTAGCTCCTAAACAGGCAGCAATGTTACACTGTATCACCTCTCGCTCCCACACTCCTGTTTGCTGTTTGTTTCCCTCCTCTCCTTGTTCTCTCGTCCCTGAACCCACTCGCTGCAAGAACATTAATCTTCAAACAGAAATTGTATAGAGGTGCTGAGAGCCAGAGAGCTCGGCCATCCTCTGATAGCTTGGTCCAAGAGTGCAGAGGTCTCTGTTTTTATAATATGGCCCATAAGTTCAGGTGATTGATGCACCGTTGCGTTATGGTGAGCGTGACTTTATCCTGTGTTCATAGGGGAGTCGCTTAAATATCTGAGAGGTGTAGTCTATCATAGTCTTTGTAGTTTTAGGCTGAAGGTTCAGAATCTTGGGGTTACAAACTAATATGGGGTCACTGGAATTGCAGATGACATTCATATGAACTGCAAATTATTCAGGGAATATACTTCTTCAACTTAGGACACTTTTTCCCAGGGCCTGATTTTTACAGAAATTCCCGGTTACACTTTACTTGAAGGGGTGTGCATAAGACTGACATGACACCTTCATAATCATGACACGACACCTACATAATCAAGACATGACTCATGTCATGAATATGAAGGTTTTTTATGCATGTTTATGACAACTGTCATTAAGTGTCATTCGCTCAGTTATGTAATTTTTTATGCAAAGATGACATTGTTTGAGATGTCTTTGTTATGGGCTATGGTTAGGGGTAAGGGTAGGGTTAGGTTAGGGTTAGGTCAAATAATGTCATATTTGCATTAAAAATGACATAACTGAGCGAATGACTCTCAATGAAAGTTGTAATAAACATGCATAAAACCTCCTTCATATTCATGACATGTGTCATGTCATGATTATGAAGGTGTCATGTCAGTCTTATGCACACCCCTTCAAGTAAAGTGTTACCAAATTCCCTTATAATTTTTTTTTTTTATTGTTTTTTTTATGTATGCTGGTTTGTTTGTTTCATTGTTTATTTATTTAAGACTTGAAAAGCCTTTTTATTCCTTTCATCTGAATTATTTTTTTTTAATTACTTATGTATTTTATTGCTTTACCCTAAATAATGAAAAATCACAACAGAATATGTTTTTATTGTACAACATATCAAATCAAGCTGATATTGTAAAACTATTTGAAAATTGTGTAAAAAATGCATAAGGTAGGTACTGTAGGTAGGGGTGTAACGATTCACCCGTTTTCTTGATGCATCGATTACAAACCCTGATGATGCATATCCATCGATCTTGAAACATGGATTTTTGAATCGTAGATTGCGGACAGTAATCATTTTAAAGCGCTAAGAATCGCAATTTCTATAGCGATTCAATGCTTTCAAAATATATACACATTAAATTACTACAAGCACAAATTAATGGAGACTTTGAACAGTGTTCGTGCCATCGCATTACTCCTTCACGTGCTCGATTATTTACAGCCAGTGACTGTCACAGGATTGCGCTCGCGCTCCGTTCGTCTCAGTGACACATTTTTTGAGCAGCTGATGTGTGATCTCTCCTTAGTACCCGTGGCCAGTAATGCTAAAATTAAGTAGTTTTCAATGGCTCTCGGTCATACCATCGACATTACCTGAACAGTCGAAGGCTGCGCATTTATTACATGGACGGAGCAAAAATGTAAGTGTCTAAAGCATATGCACAGTTCCATTGAATGATAAATGTGTTTTAACAATGTCGTTGAACCGAATGTACGAATGAAACTGTTAAAATAACCACAGCATTAACAACAACCTTGAAATAAGAGTGTGATCATCTGATAATCAAATGCATGAAAGTGGCATTTTTTTCTATAACAAACAGACATCGGGCATGTTTTCTTTCAGAATCATCATTCACCGATGTAGAGGAAAAGTTAAAAAGCTACTATAGCATTTTAGATAATGAAAATGAGATAAAGAAGTTTTCGCACTGAAAGAGAAGTGATCTTGTGCTTATAGAACTTAAGACGTGCCAGGCTATATTCAAATTTAATTGTGAATCATATCGAATTGAATCGTTCTGAATTTGCAAAAATCCTTCTTGAGTCGAATCGAAAACCT